AAAACACATCATAGTAAAACCAATACCTTCTCAGCTTCGCATCGAAGCTAAAACACATCATAGTAAAACCAATACCTTCTCAGCTTCGCATCGAAGCTAAAAAATTTGAACCTTTAAATATTTATATCTCATAATAAACAATAAAAATTTTTTTATATATATATATAATATTAATGACACGCACACATGTACTGGTACAAAAACCAAAAATAAAATTATACAAGAAAAGTGTTGTCGGCGTGTGGTGAGCGGGGTGAGATGAATGCGTTAGACAGTCTGGTCTCAAGGCCATAGACGACGGGGATACGCGAGAATAACGACTAGTGGTGTGTGGAGAGTTACAAACAAACATACAAACATATATACATTAGAGATGGGAATTATGGTTCACCTAAGTGATCCGATTCATTCGAATCCGGTTCAAAGACCCGTTCGCGATCTAAAAGATATTTTGAGTCAATTGAATGGAACATTCAGCATAGTTTTGATTCTTTTGCGGTTCTCGATTCGCGAATTGCATGTATGATTCGCGATTCGGATTAGGGATGTGTCGTATAAACAAATGACATATGAATATGTTATCGTGTTATCATTGATATTTGGTAAGCGATCAAATCGGTACAGTGTGATTTATAGGGGAAAAAATTAGTTTTTGGGGGATCCGGATCACTACGATTTGGCGATCTGAATCATTTCGTTCACTATTTTGACCCGTTCAAAGCGATCCGTTCGTTCGTGAACGACACACCTCTAATATACATACAGGTGAAACTAATAGAAGCGTGTTAATTAAAAAATGGTTAATTTTAATTTATAGATAAAAATTGTTGTCAATTATCTTTTGTTAATACATTTTTCAGTTTAGTACGGCTTGAATTTTATTTCCCTGATTAGTATGGTTTGCAAGTACATATTACTGATTAATATTCTCTTTAATAATTGTTTATCAGTATGTATACAGTTCCTACAATATAATTTCTCATATAATATATTTTTCAGAATTACTAGTCTTTAAAATACTATTCTTGTGGATACTTTTCCGAAGTAATACGATACCGAAAAATATCATTCTTATTATTTATGATTACATTTAAATAACGATCTTTAAAATATTACTCCTATTAAATATTGTTCCATGATAAACTATTCTGTATAATCTCTGATAAGTATCTTCTTCATTCAACATAATAAGTTGACAGTAATAATTGACATAAAATTTGATTTTTATGTCTACACTAAAAAATAGATCTTATCTATCTAGAATAAAATCTTATCTATTTTGTGTCTATACTTTAATCCTTATGTCTTTGTAGCAGATGGTGTTACATGTGCACCATCCATCTTTATTTATGTAATTTTTGTCTGAATTGTTTTTAAGTTAAAATTTATTCGATAAAAATTTAACTGTCATTTTCATATTTCTTGATTTTACGGTAGTGAGTTGATGTAGTCATCTATTATCATACAGAATAAATTTGCTCAGTTAATCATTCGAATAGAACAGGACTCATCTACATAACATCGAATTCTATCGATAACCCAGAAATTATGAATATGACCTAACTAAATTCAAGTAGTACTACTTCTATACTAAATTTTATTGAATGAAATTAAAACCGTTAGTAGCAGCATCAATTAATTTTCATGGTTGTATACTTTGAAGAAAACAAGAAAGGTTGGTGTTTTATAAATAAAATTTTATCTATTAAGTTTAAATTATTTGTTGTTAGATATCTTAAACATTTTTTAAATAATTTTATGTCAAGATTAAGAGTATTCTTAATATTAAAAACAACAGAAAAGTATTATATTCTTAAAGTAAAACACAATTGGAAAATGATATTTAAATATCTGACAGACATTAATACATAATACATTCATTCATAACACATTAAATTTATATTCTGATAAATATTGAAAAGTTAAATTACTTACACAATAAATTTGATTTTATTTTCACTGGTATTTATGCCTTAGTAAAGCTAAAATATTGAAGTTAATGTATAAATGTGTATCATTTTAAGCTAAAGAAATTCATTTACTGATTATAATGCTTGGATTAAGCTTAAAAGTTTAATTCTCTACCAATAGATTAAGTCGATTAATTCTCATTTTATAAACAATTGTTTTATATTTTTTTTAATCCTGAAAAATTATGAAATATGTTTTTTTCTTTAGTAATTATATGGTATTCCTTTTCAGAGTTTTTACCTAGGATATCCATAATAAAATTTTTATAATGTCATGTAATTATGCTGATGGTCTATCACCATATGAATACAAGGGTGAAGTTGGCATGCAAGAGGTAAATAAAACAAACCATAAAGGGATCAATATTTTGTATTCTATTATTTTTAGGTATTTGACTCTCCTGAAGAATTAAAAAAGAAAATCACCATATTAGCCAAGTGGATAAAAGAATCAAAATATACTGTATTTCATACTGGTGCTGGTATCAGTACATCTGCAGGTATTCCAGACTTTCGGTTAGTATCCATTAATTTTATGAACTATTTAAGTGAATAAATTATAGGATGAGTAGAATTAGTAGTATAGGCAGGATTTATGAGTAAGTTAACGATTCCTGTAAGAGTACTTAGTTATGTCAGGCATGCACTTCAGAATTAGTTTAATAGAAATATAGTATAAATTTAATTAATAAAAACAAAAAAATTAAAAAAGAGTAAAACATATAATCTATTGGGTATAAAGTTGTCATTTGTTTACTGAGGTCATCACAATAATTTAATAATATTTCAATTTTTTAAAAATAAGTTATACCAATTTTATAATGCAGAAAATGTTGATAAAAAATTCAACATAGGTTAATGGCAGTTAGCATTTTTGTTTTTTTGTACTTGACATTTAAAACGCTTGCTGAATGCTACAACATATACTTTAATATTGGTGAACAATTTGCTTTTTTATTTTAAAAAATATTACTACAATTTTATTTTATGACAATGAAATCAAACTAAAAACATATATTGTTCTATTTTTAATAATACCAAATCAAAATTTGATATATAATATTGATATATATATATTTGATATATAATATTTATTATTGTATCTAGAATAAATATTTGGAAAAAAAAAATATTTTAATGTTTTACAGCAGTATATTTTATCCATAGTTTTTTATTTATAGAGGACCAAAAGGTGTGTGGACTCTTGAAAAGGAAGGAAAAAAACCAGAAGTTAATTTGGATTTTGATGATGCCAAACCAACAATTACCCATATGGCTATCAATAGTTTGGTTAAACAAGGTTCATATACATATTTTTTTTTATTTAGATTTTGTTAATTAAATATTATAATCATTTTTATTTTACACAAAAAGATGTTAAATAAATAAAATTCATTTGAATAAAAGATTAATATTCTTATAATTTTCAATGAATAATTTAAATAGTTGAAAATCTAAAAGTTTGACTTACAGAAGCTCATTAAGCTTTTTTATAAAGCTCTAGACGTATTGAGTATAGGACAGTTTAGAAAATTGTAGAATAAATATTTTTGTACCTTTTGATGTAATTTAGTGGCAAAAGAGTCCATCTTGGAGAATTTTATTAAAATATTTAGAGAAACTTGAAAAGGAATAGATATATGAGAAATTTTATTATTTATTATTTAGAACATTCGTAAGTAATAATTTGATCAATTTTTCATTAATTTTTTTTTTTAAAGGGTACATTAAATATGTTGTTAGTCAAAACATAGATGGCTTGCATTTAAAATCTGGTTTACCAAGAAAATTATTATCTGAAGTACATGGAAATATGTTTACTATGAAATGCGACAAATGCAAAAGGTATAAATTATAAGTATATATTTTCAATTACTAAAAAGCTCTTAAAGTAGAAATGACAAGCTAACTGATATATTGCAAATATATTATAATTTCTTAAGATTTGTTAAAATTTTTTTTTTTTTTTAATATTATTTCTAAGATTAATTTGTTACATTCCATAATTATCTATTATGGTTGATTCTTTTAGGTACTCAAACACCAAAATTAGAATTATTTTCTAAGAAAAGTTTTTTGGAAACTGGAAAGATTTTTGACAAATTTTTATTGACAATAATTTTAAACATTTGCCTTGCAGACGAAATCTGTTTCTGAAAATTCAATTATTAATTAAGGTATTGTGTAGGGCTTAAAAGTCATATAAAAATATTTTTCTTTTCAATTTTTAATAATGTTTAAGAAACCAATGACCTTTACACTTAAACTAAAGCGAATACAATGTACTTTAATAAAAAATCAAAATTATATTAAAAATATTAATTTAAAACTAAAAAAATATTAAAAATATTTAACTCAAAAAGCTACCAAAAATTATTTAAAAAATGCGAGTATGTATTTCAGAAAAAATGTTACCAATATTATCGTTAAACACACATGCTATGTGTTTATTAAAGCATTTTAGAACAGTGATTTTCATCACTGTCAGATATCAACCAATACTATTCTACTGACTAGGCTACATAATGGTGGATCCCTACTATATTTCACTTTTTAAAATAGCTCTCACCTTAATAGAAGTAGTTAAGTGGCCCCATTCCCAAAAATATCTTCCAAATCCAATTTTTATATATCATGTATCTTTCTCTATTTGATTCATCTGTCCTTGGTTTTCATTTTCCAATATATCCATCGAACTCTTCTTTGATTATTATTTTTTATTAAGTCTCTGGGTTTTAGTGTGTGTCTTGTTATATTATTTATTCTGGATTGAATACACTTCTATAAATATTATTAACTTTTATCATAGCTTGCACTTCTTCATTTATTCATTCTTCATTGTCCATGTGGACAAAAATATTTTTAACATTTTTGAAAGTAACACATTTCAAAAGCTTACAATTTGGTTTTTCTAGTGAGTTCTAGTTCTAGTTCTAGTGAGTTAAAATTATTCAATTTTTTTAATTTTTATATTGAATTAAAATATTTGTAGGAATTTTGTGAGTAAAACAGCTGTAAAAACTGTTGGACAACGTTGTCTTGGTATTAAATGTTATGGAGCCAATAAGAATGGTCACCAATGTCGAGGTATATTGTTTGACACTATTTTAGACTGGGAACATCAATTACCTGATGAAGAATTAGAGTTAGCAGAATTACATTCTAAGTAAAATTTTCTCTGTTAAATATCATTTAGATTTCACTTAGTTTTTATTAAACAATAAATGTAACATTTTTAGGATGGCAGATTTATGTATTTGTCTAGGTACCTCATTACAAATACAACCAATTAATTTAGTGCCATTTAATGCAAAAAAAAACAAAGGAAAAGTTATAATATGTAATCTACAAAAAACTAAATGTGTTAGTATTTTATTTTCATAAAACTTTTACATTTAAATTATATCTTGTATTATTTTTAGGATCGTAAAGCCGATTTAGTGATTCATACATATGTTGATGATTTAATGAAATCATTGATGGAAATTCTTCAACTTGATATAGACCAATATGATGAACTCAATGATCCTACTAAAATTATAAATAAAATTACTGACTGGACTATTTATGATAATAATATTATTGAAATTCGAGAAATGAGAAAAAATGCATTACGAAATAAGAAACGAAAGAAATCTATGGTTAAAATAATTAATGACCCTGTTAATGGATTAAATGGAAATCATGACAAACAAATATTAACACTATCAAAAATAAGCAAGCTAAATAATTTTGATAATATTATGATGTAATTATTCTTATATTTTATTTAAATTATAGTTATATAACTGCTATTAACCCTTAGTTTTGGCAAAATACATTATACTTTAATGAATTACTTTTAGTAGGCAGATTTAAATATTTTATTTTTAGGGGTTTAAAAATCTTTCTTAAAATGTTAAGATAAGTTACACAATTAGATTTAATTACTAATTATTTAAATTGTAGTCTGTAGCTTGTATGTAATTATTTTGTAGCTAATTTTTTTTAACTAAATATAACATTTTTAAAATATTAATAATCAAATTTAATATGTGTTGAACTATTTTAGTTTGTATTTATATATTTCAATTTAAAATATTATTAAGTTGTTTAAATTAGTTTATATATTAATAATTCATTATAATTTTTTCATCATTATGTATCTTTCAAAAAAATTATTAATAACAGATAAGTAAGAATTGACTGAAACTTAAATAATTTATACTATGAACATGTCATATAAGTTATAATAAATTATTATTATTGTAAGATTATAGATTTAAATTTTTAATTAGCTGCAAATCTCAGATGTTGGAACTCACTATCAAGTCTTTCGAAAATTGTTTAGTTCTGTACTTTTATCAAATTGTTTATAGTACAGTGTTTTACTTTGAATGGTTGCATATTAAGTTATAATATTTTAACATTAAATTATTTTTTTTTGGTAAAAAAAATGATGTCAAAACAAAACTATTACTTTAAACTGTTTTGTATACTATTATAAATCATAATGTTAATTTTTACTTAAAAAATTAATCATATTATTTCTCAATCATAAATAAAATAATTATTATAATTTTACTATTATATTGTGTATTAAATGTTAAACAATTTAATTTAATTTAATAAATGAAATAAATTCAGAAACAAAAATTTTTTTTCCTTGTTTTTCATTGAACAAATTTTATCTTCCCAGTCTTTGCAACTTATAATAAAGCAAAATAATTCAGTTATAAAAAATATTTGTAAAAAAAAACCAAATAATATACACATAAAACTTTTTAAAAATATTACTTATATTAAATCACAATTAAATAAGATGTTGTTTTTACAATATTTAGAAATAAAAACTAAAATTAGTAGCTAATTAATACAAATTTTAGTCACCAAAAATTGTATGGGATGATTCCTTTAGGTTTATCAATAAAACCTGTTTGAATAGTTTTTGAAAGAAAAGTTTTCAACCTCTGAACAGGGCCTCCACGGCCCTCAGGAGTAACTTCATCAATTTTTTTCATATACTTGCTTTCAATATATCGTAACATTTTAATAAACTGTTTCCCATAAGCTAGCTTTAACTCGTATCCAGTAAAAACCAGTACTTCTTGTATTAACACAGCGGTAATATCTAATTGAGGAACCATATTTACTGTTGCCGATAATAACATCCAAGCTTGAGCAATCCCTAAGGCTTTCCCACTTTTGGATTCTGTCACAATAAGAGCTGCAAATAATCGTATGATCCCAGTCATTCTAGTAACATATTTATCTTGTTTTTCAATAATGCCATCTTTATAAATGTATCCTAATGATTTGTAATATTCTTCATCAGTTTCTTCTTCTGTTTTTGCAGCACTATAAGGGATAAGGCTGGGACATCTTTGTTTAAACCTAGCATATAATAACACACCAAAATCTGGATGTTTTATCCATAGTTCTATTATTACAGAAGCCACTTCAAATGCTGTTTCTTTTTTGACGCTAGTTACTAGTTCTCCAAAGTTTATAACTTTTTTGGCTAATGTATCCATACAGAAACTCAAGGCGTCTTTATGACAATTGGCAGAAATCATTGAATTAGCTGTTTTTACTGTTTTACAATTTAACAATGAGTCCAGTTTTTCAAATTTATCTTGCATATGCCAAGCTGACAGGGAAGATATAGTATTGACAGGAGTATTAATTGACTTAGTTAACTCTTGCCTCAAAGATTTTAAACTATCATCAGAAATAAAAGCAGAGTATGCATTTTCAAAGTTTATTAAATAATCTTGAAGGGCTAAATGATTTTCTAAGAAGTGCCTATATTCTTTTTTAAAGTCATAATGAACATTTTTTAATGTAGGTTTTGGTGAAATATTTTCTAATTTAAAAGAAAATTGATTAGTACTTGAACTAGGAATTTCTTTATCAATTTTGAATGAAAATTTTGAAGGGTCATTATCAACTTTTTTGGGTATGTCACTAAGTTTAAAACTAAAACTGTTTATGTCACTTTTTGTTTGTAAAACATTATTTTCTACTTTATCTGTTTTATTATCAGTTTGTATGTTAGTAAATTTATTCTTTTCTTCATTTTCATTAACTTTAAAACTGAAATGTTTACTTTCAGATTCTTTCATATTTTTCTCCAATTGTTCATTATAAACTTTTAAAAGTTTTTGATCAAATCTATTTTGAACTTCAAACAATTTGGTTTTTAGTTGGTCATCATTAACAATTATCTTACTGGCATAATTTCTATCTATAACTAGTTGTTTACGACGTAAACGTTTCAATTCTTCATTAGCAGTTAATACATTAGACTGTTCTTTTCTTTGGCGTTCCCAACATACAGCTTTTTTACTTAATATATTACGAACATGAGTTTTTCTAATAGTTTCAATTTGATCCATAGTTATTTTATACAATTCATCAAAAATAAATATTGACGGATCTTGAGATTCGTTAAAATTTGTAATATTTGATACAATCTCTTCAGTTTTATTATTATTGTCAGTTATTAAACTATTTTTGGGAGTATAATATTCATTAACTAATTCAAGCTCTCTATTAATTCTATAAAGATGTTTGGTAAATAGTGAAATACCTCTTTTAGTATCAAAGCTATTAATGGAACTACATTCCGTTTGATTTGAATAATCAAGTTCCTCCATCGTGCAATTCACTAAAATTAAAAATTAAAAAAAATTCTATTGAAACTATTTCTACAATGATTTTCAATAGTAAATAACAAACCAGATGACAGAGTGAATCTATTAAACTTAATAATATTATCATAGGTTTTAAACAGTAATAAACTGATAACGATAACGGCCACAAATGAAATATGGTATTAACCATACTAAATATTTAAATTTAAATAACGACAATTTCAAATTGACATAACACTGCTCCTAATACATGGAACTTAAACTATTTTTTAAGATTTTATTGTAATTATTTAATTATTGAAATATTGTTATAGTAACTGTTGAACCAAATTTTATCAAAATGTACCCGTATTATCTATCTTAGATGTTGCACTTGATTTTAGAATAATACAAGGCAATCTTGTGCATCTCATAATCTAGTAAACTAGTTATTTTTATACATAGAAAATAAGAAGCAAAACTGATTCTATGGGATCAGTCACTACTTTATATAATATGTTATAAAATCTTCCAAAGTGTTAACATTGGGAGATTTTATTTAAATTTTTATCAACATAACTAAGTTATGTAAACTAAAGTTTTACATGTAGTCTTCTCAGCTTCACATCAAAGTTAAAAAATGTTCTATAAATTTATATTTGAATTTTAAAAAATTGTCCAACCCTCCTTCCAAATTTCTTTTACATACACGTCTTCTACACCTCTAATTGTAGTCTAATATAATGAATATAATTATGATATAAAATATCCCTTACTAAAACATAAATAATTTTATTATAAATATTAATAATAAATAATATAAATAATGAATATTAATAATATTAACTAGATGGAATAAGTCTAGAAATAAACAAACATTTTACTTTCCTAAACCAAAGTTAAAAGTTGACCTGTCACCTCTAAATAATGTTTCTAGTTATTTGAAAACAGTTGCTGTGTAATGTATTTTAAATTGTCAAAAACTCAAATTCAAGCAAAAAATTAGATTCCTAGGCTTGCATGTTTTGTGTTAGTTTTTTAGTAAGCAACACAAAAAATCCCAAGGGTTGTAATGATACTTCCTGTCACTCCCTTCAAGTTTCCCCGTTATCTACCAATCACTTTAAACTTAGCTTTATATATAAAAAAATATTATGTACTTTTTGGTACAATTATTAAAAATCAGTTTTAATATTCACAAAATTTAGTTTTCAACACATCATTTTGATGTTTCGATGATATCAGTAAAATAGGTATGATGTAAATGTACATAGATGAATACCATCACAATGTTATTTTTGTCATTGGGCAACTACGGCCGTCTTTTACAATAACTGATAACAAAAATATTCAAATTATCAACCAGCCAGCCGGCAGACAAGCGCATTGCAAAATCGCTGATAATTTAGCAGCCGACATACGGTCGACGAATGGAGCGCTGGTGCTACTGCGGGGGCGCACATCGCACATCAGCTGCTTGTTTTTTATGGGTGTCCCGGAGTTCCGCCGATCTACTCCGCTATTTTCCGTGCCATCCATTACAATGCTAACCCGGTGCGGCCATTCCAGTTTCCACTCTCCAGTACTGGCCGCCGTCGACAACGTCTCAGTCAGCTGCCGTGCGAGCAGCAGTCGTTGCTACTCTCGTTATTCGGTGCCGCTGACACACACGCGCAATCGTTATCAACGCCCGGTCCGGTGTATGAGTTGGTGTGTGTGTTGTGTGTGATTGATTGTGTGTAGTAAGAGCGCGCGCGTTTGATTCTTAATGTATGATTTTTGATTTATCATTTAATTTTTTTCCATTCGAAAAATTTTTTTCTTCATTTTTGTATTAGCGGATTGTCTAGATAAAATATATTTGTTTTTAATAATTTCCTACTGACAACGAATATGTTCGTTTACTTACGTTTATTAACATCTAATAGTTAACATTGGTTGACTAGTCGTGTAATAATTAAATATACTTAATCTGAATAACTTGTTTATTTTCTTACGAAATTATGTGTAACCAAAAAAGTACGTTGGTGTATATTACACTAGTTTTATTAGTGCTGTGCGAATTTAGTTTATCAACATCCCCAAACCATGTTCTGACCGTGGATTCCGTTCATATTGTGAATCACACCAAGTTTTATGATAACCAGGCAATTTATGTTAAAGTTATGATTGCTATAACAGGCCACGAGTTCCAGGAGGGCATACAATTTAGACCTACATCACGAGTGGCATTAAGGGGTTCAGAATGTTATAAAAACCACCCAATGAAGAACATTGATTCTGATAAACATGTATTTGAAAAGGTAAATAATTTCTTATTAATAAACTATTTTTTATAATTGAAATTATATTCTGAGTATAATTATTTAAAGAATTTTTTTTTGATTGTGTAGCAAAAAAGTTTTGTTCATTATCATAACAAATTTCTGATAATTTTGTGAAATAAAATCAAATTTTTATACTAATCGCTTAGAAATGTTGTTTCTCATTGTAGAGCTTCATAAAATGTTTTTCTAAAAGTATTAATAATGGATTATTTAATTATCTTGAAGATAAATATTTTTTGAAAAATGATCTTCGAGTTAAATTTATTGTTCGTTATGATCATATTTGACAAAGCTGTGGTGTAAAGATATATTTGTATACAATGTAAATTATTGAGTAATACTCTTCATAGAAATTGAGTCAACATTTTATAATTAATACTGTTTATTGATAAATATTTCATGAAATTTATTTGAATAATATTAGGAGGTTGTAAAAAACATATAAGTTTGCTTTATATGATTTTGTTTTTTGTAAGAATCAATACAAAATTTTTACTTTTGAGTCCAATTACTTTATTATTTTTAGTTAATGGGTATACAACACTATGAAAATGTGTTAACGGACATATCCTATTACTGATTATGGATGGATTACACATGGATTATTTATTAAACCTATTCTAATTTTTATACTTTCTCATTACCAGTTAAAATTGTTTTATTTCTGGAGACATTTGGCTGTTGATTAAAAAAATAGTTATATTTATTTAAGTTTAAAATATATATATATATATATAAAAATAACAAAATATAATTGGTCTATTAGTCTTTGATAAAGAATATTACATGTATGACATTTTAAAATAAATACTAAACTATAATTGTATCTTTTAGGCATATAATAAAATGTATTCTTCAAAAAACAATTTAGGAAAAAATATTTGTATATAAAATTGTATGAATAATAAATATAAATTTAAATATATTTAGTTAGGTAAACTGATATGTTTGCGACTTAAGTATCATCCTTCTTATAATTAATTTATTAACAAAACTGATTCCTATAGTAATCAACAAAAAAAATTTGTTTTAAAAAATATTATATTCCAATTCTGATACACTATCGCTCCACAACTAAAATATTTCATAAAAACCTTTTTTACTAAAATTTTGATGATACTATGACTATTTTACTCTTTTGCATCTAAGACATGTTTAAATATGTGTAAAAATTCTTTTTGGGAAGAAACTGATTTTTTTATAATATTGTGAGAATAATTATGATATTGTTTTAAAGAAAATATGTTAAAGGATATATTACAGAAATACCAACTTCCCTAAAATATATCCCTATTTTTAATGAAAGAATATACTAAATTATTCGAATAGAATATAAGAGACCAAGTAATTTATGAAATCCTTTCAAATTATGCAAAATATCTAAAATTTGGATGTTGTAGTTATAATATTTTATTTAAACATATTCAATGTACTTTTATTAAAATGGTCCAGTGTAACGAAATTTATTAAAAATACTTTTAAACATAGTATGTATTTAAGGTTTTTTTAGTTTTCATAAGTCTTAAAAACTTTCCTTTAAAATTCAAGGTAACTTAGAGCGTTATGTATTTTTACGAGATTTTTGCATCTTCCGATATATGATCTAGCAAGATAAACAATTCATATTTTCTGTTAAAGTATAATGTAAACTATCATTTTAAACAAATTTGTTTAAATTGTGAATATTGATATTTTATCCTAATATATATGTATATAAATCCCCTATAAGTAGCACTTATGGTATCGAGATGCGTCTTTTAAGAATTGCGTTGACTAGATTCAATATTTAATTAAGGATTATCCGTGTGGTACTTGAATTTTGTTTAGACAGTTACATTGTATATTTTAATAATAAATTAGAAAAATGATGTTAGCGCAGGCAAGAGTAATTCTTTTTAATAAAACCATAATTGTAATATTTCATTCGAAAATTGTGATAAATTATGAAATTCATAGAGTAATTCACTTTTATTTGTTTTGAGTTATACATAAATACACAAAGAAAACATTTTCGCGCAATTATTCAAATTATACCACTGATTTTTAAGCTAAATTATCACGGATAATTTGTTTATAAAACGTCTAAAGACCACCATGTTTCTTTTCTGAAAATAGTTGTTACTAATACGATACAACGTGTATGGTCATTATTTGTAGTCGTGGTTTTAAAATAATGACCATTAAATTTAAAACCCGATTATACTAATTATTAGAAGAATTGTCTTTCCCGTCTAAACTAAAAATCTACATAAATTTAATTTAAACTTCAATAGATTATGATTATCAATAGGGTAGATTTTGCGGTCATCAATTTTGTGTTTAATAGATCTCTTTTGTAAAAGTTTAAAAACGTATTGAGTTTGATTATCAAATTTATTTATTTTTTTGTAGTGCGTTTGTATTTTGTATTTTTATTTTAATATAATATTAATAAATTAGTTACTACCTATTTAATCTATTACTATTATTTTACAAAGAGTTAAAATATAACTTAGCCATGTAAATCTAATTTATTCTTAATAACCTAAAAGATTATTAAATTGTTATTTCATTTAGTTTATTCATGTTTTCAATTGGTTATAAATTAAAAATGAAATAAATTAAATTAATGTTTTTTTTATATTATATTATCGCCAAAATTGTTACTATTAATTGTATTTACCATTAAAATTTTTATCTTATTTATTTTACTGTAAAATAAATAAGCGGCTGCTTTATTTCTATTGGTTAATTGTAGTGGAGTATTTTATGTATACCGTACTAAAACTTCATTTCAAATTTTTATTAAATACTTCTTTATTTAAATATTATTTTCTAAAACAATACGATTGAATTATATTTCGTATATGTTAAATATTTGTGAATTTGCATATATTTATTAGTATTTAATCTGCCCATTATGATATTATACAGTATAATATTATTCTTATTTGTATTTACATAAAATAGACATGCTAAGGTAAACAATCAAACATTATATTTCAGCTATTAATTAAAATATTGAGTACATGCACTTTTAAGATATGTCTATAGTTCAATGTAGAAAATGTGGCGAATTGGTGGATATAAAAAATGTTTAGATATAAAAATAAATTTTTTATTGTTTTGGTATGTAATACTTTTGATAACATCAATTCACCAATGCTTAGATTTGATTATTGCTTTGAAAAATTATTATTATCTTAACTTATAACTTAATAAATTATTTAAAATATTAAAAACAAATAGGAATAAGAGATATGAAACTGTATAAAAAAGTCATTCGTTATTTTTACAATTTTTTGTAAAGATTTATTCAGAACATCTAGATTAAAACTACATTAGTTAAAAATTATAATCCATTGTCTATGTAAGTATAATATCGACAGTTCATAACTAAAAAGATAACGTGAGAGTTCTTTTTTTATACATAAAGCTTCTACATTAGGTAAATTCAGTAATTTCTAATACTTAAATTCAAAATTTTGAAGCGAGGTCCGTTTATATGTTTATAATATTTTATATGTTTATTATTCTAAACCAAACCTAAGGATTAGAAATACGTTGCATTGCTGCTTTAGTAGCGGTGTAAAATGTTTCGTGAACTTCTTAAATATCCTGTTTCTACATTTTCTAAACATTATGATGAACGATTTTAAAAATTTGTACACGTGTATTTTGTTTTGTATATTATAATTCTTTAACTATAATTTATACATAGTGGAATCATTAAAATATTAAATTCAATAGATTGAATATATTTTAAACTCCATTCAATAATTATTAAAATCCTTATTTAGAGGTGTATGAATTTAGTGACTAAAAATTGCATAAATTTTTCTAAGAATGACATTTTTTTAATACATATCTAATATTTTCAAAATAGATTCTATTTAGATTTAAATTGCAAGATTCTTATAAATGAGTTAGTTAAATTGTTGTCAGCTATATATTTACAAAATAATTGTTTTACTCAGTAAAATTTTATTGTTAATATTCATCGAATTTTGTTTGTTTTTTTAGGTATGGGGTAATGATACATATGCCTTGATGAATATCGTGTTAAAGTTTGATGAAGACCTTATCACTCGGAGTCTTTACATGTGTGTAAATATACCACGAAAACCATATAGTGGTTTTGTATCATCACTATGGAGTGCATTAGCTAACAATGAAGATACATCTGGTAAATGGGTTAATCAAGGCGACTCTGTTGCAATTCGATGGTCCGATGATCCGACCATAATAAGCACTGATACACCAAAGGATAATGTTCAAAGGTGTGTACTCAAATAATATTTATACTTCGAATTTCTTCCCCAGACTGAAATTTTGACTATTTGATATTTTTTTTGTTGTAAAATCTATATTTTATTTCTTAACTACTCTGCATGGGAGCAAATAGGATGATGACTTGGCTAGTTAGCAACCCTTCCCACCACAAATGAATTTTGCAGTTCCTTTAAATTTTTTTAAAGGAATATTGAGTAATTCCTTATATACAGGTGATTGATTTATTATTGACCACTAAATTTCCCTTAAAATAAAAATAATTTTGAAAAAAATTATTGATTTTGTTTAGTATTATTTAAATATCAATTTATAATTGGTTATACTAACTTAATTTTTTTTTTTATGGTAATATACATGTTTAACTAGTAGTTAACTAGTTAATAACTAAGTTATTAAAATTTCTAAATATAGACTATAGGCGAGGTGCTGTTTATGTTATTTATATCATTATGCATTTCTCTGCCGCGTTACTCCTCCGACCTAAGTATAAAAATATTTATAACATCTGAACTACTGATTAAGAAGTTATCAACCGATCATTTTTTCAGATGGATCATTGTCTATTATATAAATTAGTTAGATGTCATTTAAAAAATTAAGTTGCTATCATTGTAAGGGATGGACATAAAAAATATTTAACCATTTAAAATTTGAAAAATAAATAAGCCCAAAAAAAATTTTTTTTTTCAAAATTATAATTTTAGAAGACATCTTGAGGTCAACAATAACTTAATAATCCTGAAAAAACAGTACTCGTTTTTATAAAATCGTGTTTTGTAATATTGTAATTGTGTACAATGTTGTCAGTGCTTTTAGTTTTTAGCTATTATAGTTGCAATGCTATAGAAAATAAATGATATTATGTTATTATGAATTAATAGATTGACAGAAATAAGTTAGGGTATATTATTTTGAGGAATGCAAAAAAAAACATTTTGGCCTTTGGAATACCCCCAGTTTAAAACACTATTTGCAACTATGCTACTATGTAATCTTTACCATTATATATGAGCTCGCAAAGCTTATATTGATTTTCCCTATTAAGTTCTATGAACTCGATTATGTTTCGTTAGCCTTCTCAGAAATTAACAATTTCTATGTTATTTACAAAGCACTGCTGCTTAGTTATATTAATTATCCTTCTTATAGATTTTGTTTATCTTTCATTGAATTTTGTATATTTTCATTATGTTATTACAAAGAAAGAAATTATCAAAAAATTCTCATATGATACTTTTAAAATACACTCGAATGGTAATTTTAAAATAAAGTATCGAGAATTTGTACATAAATGCAACAGTTTTGTTACTATTTATCAGAATTAAGGGGGTTCAAACGCTCGAGCACCACGAGAAGGGTCCATCTCGAATTTTACTAGCTTAGTCATAACTAGTGACAGAATTTTTCTAGGTTTTTTTTTTGCTCATCACTTTTTTATAGTAGCGATATTTCCATAGTGGACCCCATGTAGGTCTTAATTCGGCTCTGCTATTTATCAAAAATTTCCCAAACATTGTACCTGTTAAAAACACTCAGTATATATATATATATATATGAAAATTTGGACATTTTTTCTTAAGAGTGTTTGACGGTGTTTTGGTTGCTTATATTAATTTATATGATTATTGCATATAAGTTTTATAAACCGGTTGGCCAATCTGCCTTAATAGTTTTTTTCTTCAAGTTTGATGGTAATAATAGTTAGTACCTACCAAAAATGGTGTTCTATAAAAGCCTTGTATTATGGTATGCAATCAAAGATTGATTACACTGTTAAATTGCATTCAGTTTTTAAAACATACAATTTAAATGAAAAATTCTAAACTTAAATTAAATTAAATTAAACTTAAATTAAGAGTGTGCAATATTTACTTATTATTATTACAATGTAATTTGTGTTATAATTAATTGTTTTGTTGAATTATTAACTATTGAGTTTTCATTTTAATGGAACATTTCTTGATTGTTTAAAAATGATGTAATTTGAATCAAATTTATTGAAATAAGTAAATACAATGTATGTAGAAATACTTTTTTTTTTTCATTATTTTAAAACCTCTATCATACAACTGAAAAAAATGATAATATTGTTTTTTTTTAATTTCATTTTTTTGTTTCAAATAATAGCCTTGAAATAACCCAAAGAAGTTTTTTGTTAATTATAAATTTATATCAGATATGCTGTTATACAGATATATTATTATTTGGTTTAGATATAATAGGAATCAACTTTATTCTTTGATTACAAATACTTAAATTAGTGTCACGTTCATCCCTTACGAGTACAAACGACTATGAGAAAAGTTCGACTTTAAATATATTTATCCACTTTATTTTTGGATTATATTTTTCTAACAATATGTAAGGTTTGGCAGATTTTGCTTAAAACGTGTTTCATCTTTATTTCTATAGCTTTGGGATTATTCTATTTGAAATTTTATTTTATTTATTTACAGTCGAAAACGACGACAAGATAGCCGTACCAGTTTACTGAAGGGGGTCACTTCATTGAGTACGGCCTATTTATCTACAGTAAATTTGTTTGGTCTTCGAATGGAACATTCAGATGCCGCAGTAGACTACGATGAATTTGGTGTACCGCAGTTGTTGGTTCAAAGAAATACTTCGTTTCGATTATTTGGGAGTGGTTGGACAGAACATACTTTATTTGTACTCACAGAGAAAAGTGGCGAAAGGGGGACACCTTGTGAATTCCCTGTTGGTGAAATTCAAAAGGTAGGTAATCAATATTTTATCTTGTAAACTAGCAATCTTGTTTGGTAGTATATTTTTTTCATTAATTTTAAAATGTAAAAAAATATAATGGTGTTTCAACTACCAAGTGGTTGAAAATCTGTTGTTTGTAACTTTTATGATTAGTACTCTAGCCGTTGGTTTTTTTTTATGTTTATTATTAAATTATTCCTGGATATTTGTAATAATGATATGAATAATAATTATTTAGACTAATATATAATTTTTAATCGCATGTTATTTTGCTTAGGTTGATTTGCTCCAGAATGATCAAAACACCGTAAAATTAACAATCATCTTGCCACAAGCTAGCAAATCAGGAACGACATTCTATTTTTGTTCTAAAGAAGACGATAAGGCGGGTGCTATATGGACCCACATGGGTAGCGAATACTATAAACAAATGGGCGTGTACGAGAAAATGTTGCCGTTTTGGCTCCAAGTTGCTATTATTCTTACTTGTCTGTCTTTCTCATCATTATTTTCTGGTCTAAATTTGGGTCTTATGTCTCTGAACCGAATGGATCTTAAAATTATTTGCAATACTGGTACCGATTCGGAGCGAAAATATGCCAAAGCTATACTTCCAGTCCGTATACACGGTAACTATTTACTGTGTAGTATTCTTTTGGGTAACGTTATGGTTAACTCAATATTTACCATCCTTCTTGATGATCTTACTTCTGGTCTCGTGGCTGTTATTACGTCAACTTTAGCTATTGTCATTTTTGGTGAGATTACCCCTCAAGCTGTCTGTTCTCGACATGGTTTGGCTATAGGTGCTAAAACTATATACATTACAAAAACCGTAATGGTCCTTACTACTCCACTTTCTTGGCCAATAAGTAAAGCTCTGGATTGGGCTTTAGGAGAAGAAATCGGAAGCACTTACAATAGAGAACGACTTAAGGAATTGGTTAAGGTAAGTGAATTATATTTCATGATTAATTTTACGCATTAGTTTCTATGTTAAAATACTGTTGATCTTCTTTCGATAAACTATAATAGGCAAAATTCTTAGGTACTAGTGTAACTGCACAAATTATCAAGGCGCTAATGTAATAAATTTTACTGATTTAATTTTTAAGTACTAAAGTAGAATTTCTAAAGAGATGATTTGAAAAAAATTTGGTCCGTGTAATTTGATAAATTTATGTGGTATTTATCACATTAAAATTCCATTGCACATGTTGCATAATGATTACAATTTTATTCTTATTACATATAGAAATCATCATTGGTCGTATCATGTTGTTTTTTAGAATAACAAAAAGATTTTTAATTGATTTTTTCTTTAAATACAATTTTTCATTGATATTATTTAAATTAAATTAAATTTTTAATTAAAAAGAATGCGGTGTCTGTATAATGTTTTGCGATATTTTTTACGTCTATGGTAAATAACTTAATCATATCAAAAATATTTCATTATATAAGTTTTTGAAAATCCTATACTTATTATTCAATCGAGTGAATCGGTTAAATAGACATTTGAATGAATCGCTTTAAGTATATTTGTACCGTTCAATTAATTATTTGTAAGTAATTTTAAAGTCAACCAGACGAAAAAGTTTTTGGATATTAGTAGTTTCACCTTCATCTCTAATTGTTGTAATTTAGTCAAATATTTCTGATTACACAGTAAAAGCCTATACTTAGTCCAATTGTGTATTTAATAACATTATTATTAAATATATACATTTTAATTTAAAAATACATTCAGATTGTTATCGCAATATATTGTATTTTTTTTAATGCATTGATGAACAGCGATCGCGTGTGTTATTCACAAAGATGCTACTTTTTAAGAGCTATTTCATGGTTGTATTTTTTGCTAATTGTCATTCAGTGCGTGTATTTAAACGTTTATGAATTTTGTAGACGACTAAAATAGAAACGTGGCGTCGGTCACTAACAAAATATATTAATTATTATTTGTATGAGTTTGATGAAAGGGTGTATTGATGTATTTATTATATATATATATATATATAAATTTTAATTTTTTTAAAATAACCCAGTTTTGATAATACTTATTGATAGATATTCATTTTTTTTCTTCAATTTTTTATTATATCTTCTTTATTGATATGTAATTATTTCGTTTTATTAGTTAATGTAAATATTATTAATTATTCCACTTTTAATTTAGAAAACATTTATAATTTAAAATTAAATAATCCAATTTTTTTCAAAAAATTATTGGCATGATTTTTGAATAATATTGTATTCAATAATAACTTAAATAAAGTAGATATTTTTTTGTAGGCATAATTTAAAATATACTCTATTCTTAAAATGCACCGAGTTGCATCATAAATCATGACAGTAACAATGAATAATGATTTAAATGTACCATATGTTGTATTTTAGTATACGAGTTGTTTATTAATCGCATACTTAACTCATTAAAAAATATGTTATCTTTATTGGATGTTGATACTTCTAAGAAAGTATTTTCTCTGATATTCTACAAGACCAATAAAGAAATAAATTATTCAATGTTACTCAAAACAGAGTTTCTTTCATAAATAGTAAAAAGAATTAAATTATAACGTTAGTGTCCCACAGTAATTGAAAATCTAATCTTTATTATTTAACTATTAATTACAGTATATTGAGGCCGATTTATTTTAATTCTTACTGTCTTAATTATTTAATACCCTTAAATATTTTGTTGAATAACAATATACGCTGATAATTTTTGTCACATTTAAATTGCATCGACTTAAAATATACTTAAACATCTTGATACATTATAATATAATAAAGTAATTAATATCTTAGGCGTGTGTCACTTGTATCTAATAAATAACTGCAGTATTTGAATAAAAACTTTTTTTTTTTTTAAATTTTAATAGTAAGAAAATTTTATTTACATTGATTTATAATACTGAAATGATTTTAATCATTGTATTTCGAGAGAAAATTTCTACAGTATTAATTATTTACAGAAGGATAAAATCTAAGTGTAAAAAAGCCTAAAGGTGCATTTTATTTATTAGTAAAAAACTAAACTCATGAAATATCATTGTCCATTTTAGCTTTTTTAAATTTATGACTTTAAATTTGAATACAATTAGGTAATTAAAATATAAAAATAATTGTATAAAAGAATGAAGAAGGTAAAAATTTGAAACTGCGTCAATTGTTCTCTAAGTTACAGTAACATTCAACATGCAAAACGCCTCATTTCGTAGTATTGATTTTCGTTTTTTAACCTTAAATTGTACTTGACAGCACGTGTGCATTAAGCCACAGGAAAATAAAAATATTATTTATTAATTTTGCACTAATCATGAATAATCGTCGAAATTTAATATTTAGTTAATATGTTTAAAAGAATAACCTTCCCAAATTTTGTCATAGTTATGTATATTAATTTGCAAAAAAAAATCATATATTTTCACTTGAAGTTAAAATTAGAGGCAAATTAATAGTCGTTTAAACTTCAAATAATTTCTTCATTTTATGAATTGTTATCTATGGCAAATAAACACGTTTGTAATTAATAGTTCGTTAAAATTTATCATACTGATACTTTTATTGACATTTAGTTTTTCAAATACATTATTCTAAATTACAAGGTGATTGATTAACTATGTCTCACTCAATATCTTTAAAAGTATAAAAATTTTTTTAGTTTTATATTTTCAAAATTAATAGCGCCCTATGCTATAAAATATTCAAAAAAAATTTTTAATCCTATCTACCTCTCTCCTTTTTAAAATTGTATCAACTTAAATTTTTTTAATGAAAACATATATGCTTAATTAGCTTAAAAATAAGAAAATAATCCAACTAAGAACTGACTAGTCGATAATAACTTTTTGAACCAGCACTTAAATGCTAAAAAGCAGGAGATGTATTGCGGTTCATAAATTATTAGGGATAAAAATAAACAGATCTGTGCTTCGTAACCAGTTATTATAGTTAAGTGTTAATATTTTCCAAAATACTCGTTGTTATGGAACGGACATTTTTTTATTTTTAAGCTAATTAAATATTTACGTATTTATATAATAGACTTAAATTGATACTATTTAAAAGAAGATAGAGAGAGGATAGAAACAATATTTTTTTAATTATAGTACATATGATACTATTTTAACTACAAAAAAAAAAATGTATAATATTTTTATACTTTTAATTTATGTTTTACAACGTGAGACATATTTCATCAGTCACCCAGTATATGCTTCAAATTAGTTTATTGTCTTATAATCCAATAGTCCTTTATTTTTATCAAAGATGTATAAATCTTATTATTAATGCAAAAAATATGTAGTATCATCGATAAGGATATTTATTTAGCATTATTCATCAAAGTATAGTTTTAAATTTGTAACATTAATTATTTTATTAAAGTAATTTTTAGTCAATTATTTTTTCTTACGTAAAAAATGTTTTTATTAATTATAAATTAATAATTTAAAAAAAAAACGTTTTTATTAATAACATTATACAAATAGATATCAATTCTTATTATAGCTGTACTTTTGAAATTCACCATTTAAACTTAAAATAAATAGTTATATTAATTTGAAATGAAAAGATTTACTTAATTTCACATGAACTCTACTACATATTGATATAACTCAGTACCTTGAAGCGTCCAAACAAATTATTGTTTTTTCATAATTTCGACTAATGTGCTATTTATAATTCTCATTTTTTAATATTTTATTGCAAGGCATTAAAACATTTTTTTAGTGTAGATGTTTAGGGAAGCTGGAACTATTTTTTATATGAAGAGGGGCAAAATTATATTAACTAAAGATAAAGCCCTTGATTGTTACTAAGATAAAAAAGCGGGTGAAGCTATTTTTTTTGATGATTTTTAGTGATTAAATACAAAAAAAAATCCGGTAGTTTATAAACTTTATCCTTGATAATGTGAATGG